TCAAAAATGCATACACCCATATGGGCATCTGTCTTAACTTGATAGCTGCTACTTGTCGTAACGTTGGCGGGTAGCTTTTGGAGGGTTCCCGTCGCTTTACAGGATGTTTTTGGGGGCTCGCTTTTCAGGTGTTCCCATCGCTTTACAGGGTGTTGGGCCAATGTTGGGTTCCCTGTCCAAGCCTTGCATCTCCTCTATGCAAGTTTTGACGACTGCTCATATGGGAGCCGCTGCGGAGAGGGTACTCAAATGCGCATGTCAACAGAGATTCGGAGCTTTGGAGTCAGTCTCGCACGCCAAGACAGAGCTCTACACACATCTTGCCTTGCCATTGGTGGAGCGAAAAATTAACAAATTGCAGAAGCAGAGTTGGTGAATCCTTGTCTACAGTGCCGCCGATCAGAACAACCTGCCAAAGACTGCAAGCCTGCCTGTGCGGCACGTTGTCTACAGTGTCGGGGAGCTAAACAGCGTGCTGGTCAATGACTGGGAGACAGCAGTTTAGGCACGACATGTGCTCTAAGAGCAGCAAGCAGCAAGAATAGCGACCCTGACACCAACGCTGCCATCACCACCACAAGCAGAGGGAGGAAGGCTAAGCAGAACGAGCGGCAACCGCGATGATTATTCTCACAAGCACGAACATCAATGACAACAGTTGAGCACATTAAATTCAATCATCTGAGCCGTTTGAGAATGCATCTTTCTTCAGGCAGCCCGCCGGAAGCGTCTGACAAGGAAAAGCCAGCTGACAAGCCCGAGGGTCACAGATATGCTGACCATGTTTATCATACTGATTGCAAGGAGGTTGGTATGGTGAAGGCAGAGGGTCGGTAATCAAATGCCAGAGCTGCATGAAATACTTCCGAGTGCCAGACTTGTCGGAAGCATTTGAACCCTCTTTGGCAATGTGGTGCTCATCGCTCATGACGGAGCCGGAAGCTTTTGATCTGCTGTCAAGAGCCCCCGAATCCTTTGTTCCTGCAAGCCATAGCCATCCATAGCCATCATGAAAATTTCATCGGCTTCCGTAGTTTGACACAGAGTCCTGTTCTGGTACCTTTTCTGCTGCCACCCTTGACGCTGGGCGACGGCGAAGTCTGCCCACAACACCCCATCGGCAAGGTGACAAACAAAAACTTGACTCCATGTGCACAAACTAGTCGGGGCAACTGACTGCACCTGCCTTCAGAGCCAAGGCGCGAGTCGACATGGCCAAGTAGGAAGCAGACCACAGGCTTAACCCGGAGTGTCAGCAACAGTGTATCCATGCAACCATGAGTGCATGTGCTTATGCCACTGATGCCCATTGAACTCAAAGAGCCCAACATGTGGCTGAAAAATGACGTGTGCGCGTTCCTGCCAAGCTAGGGTGGCATCACCAAATGAGGCACAATCTACGCAGCATGCCACATGACGTGGGAACACCGCTGGCAACAGTCACTTCCTTTCCATGTCTGCAACGAAGGCCATCTCAAAACCCTGCATGCTAGTGCTTGGTGCTTAGGAACAAGAAAGGACAGCATAGAAGCGCATAATCTTAATCAGGCCCATTACTTGTCAATCAATGTCCAGGAACAGGACCTCAGGATAGCAAAAAGGGAGTACATCGCGCGACGGGTTAAGGAATGATTGTCTTCGAAAGACAAGACTTCGCGGAGTCCAACGCATAGCTGTTTGAGTTGCGCTCTGATGCATCTGGAAGGGTCTGGGCGAGCTGGGAGAAGAGAGTTGAACGTAAAGTCACCCTGTGGAACAAAAACCGTAGCACGTGTAGCACCATGTGCCTGCGGGTGGTCCTGCACTAGTCAGGAGCGATAGGTCGCAAGACGACAATAAAAAATAACTTGCCACACCTTTTTGAGATGTGCGAATTTCATTTTACGGTTACACACAAAAAGTAAAGGTGCAAAAGGTATCTCGTTCATCGGATGTTTGCCGCTTTGCCCTTGCATCTCAAGCAAGTGTTTCGTTTGTCCTGAGTCAAATCCCGGAAAAGGCGCAAGATAAAGTTCATCTGGACTTGCCGGAATAAGATCCCACCAGAAACCCATGAAAGTGCATCCTCTAGCTGACACCCAGGCATGGCGCGATCTAACCCCAAAGCCCAGACCCAGCCAATCCATAAACTCCGGTTGCCGCCTTTGTCTTGGAGCTACTCTTCCCCAGTGTGAAAAAGGTAGCACAGGGTTCGGCTAGCAAACCCCACACACCCTGAAGCAAACCATCACCCGAAAAGTACGTCATGGCTGGCTACAAGGACCCATATGGACCCATGGCGATGCCGCAAGCCATGCCCGAGCAATACCCCAGGTAATACCCCTGACCCCCACTAGTGACGCTGATCCACTTCTCTCTGATGAACCTGGTGGGCTTGGTTTTTAGCAACACCAGGAGGACGCTGATTCTTACGACTTTGCCTGTAAACTTTCCCTGTGATTCCAGGCACAACCAGCAACTGTTCCCACTTCGGGGTCGCACTGTACATGTTTTGTGCTTTTACCCTGCTTGCTGTGCAGCAGTCATCGGTTTTCACTTCTGAGCCTTATGCCGCTTTTGCCTGCGTGGGCTCCGTGTTACAAAGGTCAGGTATTTGGCTTTTACTCTCTGCACTGCACGGCTGAGACTAATTATGCCGTTCAATGCCAAAGCCAGCACAGACATGTGGGGCATGGGACTTGTGCAGTTTGAACATCTCCAGAACCACAACAACCTTTTTGTCGCGAGCTGTCTCATAGCATCTCGTGAAGACCGCGTGGCAAAGGCTGCGGCGTCATCTACATCTGCAGCAGCACAATGAGCAGCAGCGCAGGACTTTCAGGAAGTACGAGAACAGCGTCCTTCTCTTGAGCAGGCAGCACTCACTTCTCGTTAGCGCCGCTGAGGACCATGTACCTCCCACACCAGGCAGTTAAGGCTGCTTCATATTGCTGCTGGACAGGTTCAACAGCTTGGTTGGTAAGTTGTGGCCGTTCGCCAGGCCCGCCCGTTGTGCCCGGGACTGCTTCAATACGGAAAGCTTGGGAGGTGGTCAAGGCACGGTTTGGCTTCCGCTGTCTGCGCGTGTCGCAGCGCCCTGGTCAGGAATGTTCAGCATGCTGACAACGCTAAGGTTGCTGGCTTACAATGATGCGCCTGAGCGTAGGTAGAGCTTCAATGACGTTCATGCTCTTCCTGGCAGCAAGCTGCGCTTGAATTGAAATGTGCGTTTGACTCTTCAGAGTCAACGAAGAAAGCTACTACAAAAGTAGCATTTTTACCCATTCGTCCGAAAGGCAATCTCATCTCATTCTCCAGCCGAAGAAGTCGCCGTTCCATGTTTTTTCGGCCAGGAACCTTGAGGGCAAACATAGAGCCTACATGAAAGCCTACGCGGTCCAAATAGCTGGAGGAATCACAGTGAGGCCCTAAGAAACTGATGCAACGGGCTGAAGCGCTTCCAAGTGGCCTTGCCGTGGAACTTCCATGAAATCGAGCGGAAGGCTTCCTTGGGCGTCTGAACCTGCAAGGCTAGCTTTTTGAGAAGGTGCAGGACTTCCGCGAACACTGCACCAACACGTCAATGTAGACACCGAGCTGGACTGACGCTAATCGTCTAATGTGGCGGCACCGAGCTGAGCAGTCCACCCGGCCAAAATCGTCTCGGTACTCGAGCTTAATGTCTCCATCCACTGTCGACATCTCCAGTGGACGGTTATCCAGCTTGCGGATTCTGTGGGAGTCCTGCGTACAGGAAAACATCTGGACACAAAACCATGCACGTGATGCAGGGTCAGAGTTCCAAATTTCCCTGAAGTGCAACTGCAGGCGGCTGACTTCATCTCCCACGACACTCAGCCTAGCTGCAAATGCCCGAATCAAGTTCATATGCGAATTGTGCGCGCGATGTCCTGATCACAGCCGATTTGTGAACGCGCTCGCAAGTACTCGAGCCCGCTCGCACCTCAGAAGTTAAATCAGCCAACTGTCATCTCTGACGGTCAACAGGACTTGTCTGCACGAGTTCGCATGATGCAGACCTCTTGGCATGTGAAAATTGGGGCCACAGGCAGCTGAGGTCAAGAGACTCCTCGATGAGGGTTTGTTCCTGCAAGGCGTGGTGCCAAGGCAAGGCAGACAAAGAGGCAGTGCCGGGCTGACCAAGTCTTCTTCCGCGTCTTTCGTAGCGGCCATGACCTACCCACGTCAGACCATGGCATTGAGGGTGGGAAAAAGCTGAGAGCAGTCAAGGGCCTCTTCGGGCAGGCCTGCCTTTCGAGCTTTGCGTTCACCTGCTGCGACGCCCTTGCGCTGAGTTGCCTGCACAATAGGATGCTCTGGTAGACCTGGTACTTGTACCATGATAATGAGGTGCTCAGTACAAAGCTATGTTCTGCTAAGTGCTCTGACGGTTGCTCTAGACGTCACGCAGTACGAGTAGCACACAGACGGGAGCAGCTCGACCTGCTGCTTGTACAACGTCGATCCGCGGAAGCTCTCGTGCTTCAGCGTCTCAATCTTCTCCAGCGGGGTTTGAACCACGTTGCAAAACCTAGCATTTTGCCACCCGCTAGCACAGCTGCGGCCATCACAAGTAATAACAGACATCAGGCACACAGTTTGCGTATGCCCTGCTTTCATTCCCTTACACGCAAGCCGGCTTGAGAGCCCTTAGCTTGAGCGCCAGGCTCTGTGGTCGCAGTCAGAGCCACATTGCTGTCGGTGTCTTTCTTGAGGCCGAGAAGTTCTGGCAGACATCAACTTGGCAATTCCAGTCCATCATGTCCCTTTTTACTTGTAGCCCGACGCCCGGTGGGCTTGTCAGCTTCATCTGAGCTAGGGCTGCAAACATGACATGTCAGCACCTTTATCTTTGCCCTTTTGTTGTTCACAAACCTGACCTGTTCAACTTACAGCTGGCACTAACGGATAGACTTTGCTAGGCCTTTTTCCTTGTGCTCCTTCACCTCTTCGTCCTTTCAAGCGCAGCTCGCGATCATATGCTTCTTTAACTCCAAGGTCTCGGCAAGCCAGTCCTCTTCTCCGCCCATTCCCTGGATTCGCTCGGAAACCTGGCAGTGTGCATCTGAGAAAAGCACCAGCTGAACTGATGCTGCAGGATTGCCTGTGTCAGGGCCGCTTCTCCTTTCTTGGCCTGGCCTGGCAGTGAACATACCGGCAGCAGGGCTCATGAGCGCAGGCAACTCGCATGGAAGTACTGGGCGAACCTGTGTCGGCACGTTTGACAAGGCGGCGCTGCTTGGACAGCTGCTCGTACAGCTCCGGATCCTGGCAGCGCAACTGCCTAGACTTCTACGGAGCTCCCGAGCGCTCCCGGGAGCTCTCGGCCTCCTCATCTGAACCGGCATCGTCAGGACGAGCAGGACCTGGGCAGCTGTCGTTGACTAAGATGCCCCTCAAAGTACATGAGAGAATGCCTGCAAGACTCCACAGAACTCATTCGCGAACCAGCCCAAAGCAGTGTCTTTCAGCATTCGCACAAGCAATAACTGCTGTGTCGTAGGCAGTCAAAGCAGAGGCATGCTCTTCCATGGTACTGTGTTCCATGGAAACCTCTTGCAAGCTACGCAGAACGCGCTGCCAGGAACCCTGACTAGCACAAGCACTCCTGGCTGCATTGATTGTGATCAGGTCGCTTTTCAGCGCCAAAACATGCAAGAGTTGGAGTGAACTGAGTGCTGCCTGCCACCGTCTTCCGCAATCGCATGCACCGATCGTATCAGCAAAAGTGTGGGCATCACCAAAACTCGCTTCGCCTCCAAATTGTAAAGCGAGCTTCCACTCGTTGCTATTAGTACAAGCAGTTATGACCGCGCTGCGAGTGATGAGATCTTTCTGCAAATACTGTACATTCAGTTCAGTCAGCCAAGCGCAAGCCCTTTGCCACTCTGCTTTGCTGCAGGTAATGAGCGTGTGATAGGTGATGAGGTCTGGAAGTAGGTTCTTGTCCCTGAGCTGCAGCAGCCCCAAAGCTGCCGTCCAGTGCTCACTGCCCAAGGCGGACAAGGCAGCATTGAGGGTAACAGGTGTTGGCTGCAGCCTGCTGTGCACGAGGGAATCCAGAAAGTACATGGCGAGTAGCCAACTTTCAAAGCAAGAGCTGATCATCGCATTGTGGCTGATAACATCGGGCCGAAGGCTGACAGAAGGAAGCTCCAGAAACAATGCCAAGGCAACTTGCCATCGGGAGCACCTGCTGCAGGCGCTCATCGCAGCATTGTAACAACTGATGTTTGCTCCATGTGCTCGTTCCTGACAGAGCAAGAGCAAGCCATGCTGCCATTGTGATCCCTTTTCGCACATGCTGATGCACGAGCTGTGCATGACGCCATCAGGTTGGACCTGCAGCTCTGCAGCGGTTCCCAGCAGCACTAATGCTCTTTGCCAGAGTCCGTTATCGCAAGCACCGATTGCCGCACCTAATGTCATGGGTGTGGAAGACACGAAGCTCCGGCTCATGTGTAACAGCATATCTAAAGATCTCGACCAACATGTGCGCTTTGCCAAGGTAGCAAGGACGCTGTTGCATGTAATCACATCGTCGAGCCTTTTATGACGGGCAATTTCAAAAACAACAGCGGCACGCTTCCAGCTGGATCGAATACAAAAGGCATTGACCGCTGAATTGTAGGAGCTCGTCGTGGGCTGTAAACCACAGCGGCTAAGGTCTTTGAGCCAACAACATGCGCTCTGCCACTTCTCTCCCCTGCCCAGAACGCTGAGCAGAGCATTCTGTAAGACTACGTCTGTCTCACAACCTTGTGTTGCCAAATTGCTCACTGTAAAGATTGCACGGGACCATTGCCTGCCGGTGCATGCCGAGACTGACCGAGTGCACTGGATCAGCTTCGCAGAATCGTCCCTTCGGGAACGGGTGCCACGGTCCAGATACGCACTTCCTGCGTGAGATTTGGGAGATGCAGCGAGTCTGCTGCGCTTGAGTGAGAAACAGCAGTCTTCCCATGATTCCAAGGCAATGCTGCTGTCCATCCACCGGGCCGGAATGTTCCAGCTCCATTACCAGTTGTACGCTTGCATGCGAAGGACTTTCCAATGCTTTCGCATCACTTCGCGTTTTGTCCATCTAGGCGAGCCCCATCATCCTCACGTACGGGCATGTCGGAAATCGCGCTTGAGCCCATGGATATCAAGTGGTCAGAGATAGCAACGTGTGATTCAACTTATTCTTATACAAGCAAGTTACGGCTCCAACTGTCCACAAGTCACGCAGCGGTTCGGTGGCCTTTCACGTGGACTTTACTCGGGTCACCGATTTGGTCCTCCTTGTCTGCTGCCACCTGCGCATCTCCCTCCCTCCCTCCCTCCCATGTGCAGGGCCTTTCTAGTATGGTGGCCGTCTACTCGAGTCTGATGACATCTCCAGCAGCACGGCTTTTGTTACGCTTTGACCGCATTGCAAGTCCACGCAAATCACTTTGCGCGTTTGAAACGCTGTCAGCTGTCCCTTCAAGCAATCGGAAGCTTGGGCCTGTAATAGGTTGGACCCGGGGTACAAAAGAACCCTCTGGCACCTGGCCCTTTGCAAGTCGAGTGTGGCGTTCACCCGCACGATGACTTGCATATTCCACCGAATTGAGCCATGCGCATGGTGCGGCATCTTCTTCACAAAGATTTCTTACAAACACTCCATCTACTTGTAGCTGCTCTAGCTTCAAAAAGGCAAGCTGCAGCCTGGTCTGGTTGACTGAATGACCGTCCATTCAGAGGCTGAAGGCACAGAGATCCTGGGTTGAGTGGGGTATGAGTCGGCCAAGGGCGGAGGGCTCAAGGTTTCGTGATGTGCCAGCACATACCAATCCTTCAAGAGCCACAAGAGCTTCGACAGGCTTCCTGGCTCAGATGGTATTTAATATTATCTAATGGATGCTGCGGAAAGGGTGCATGCGTAGAGCCGTGCTCCGCGGCTGAGCCCGCCCAGCTTGGCGTTCACACGCGTGAAGCAGCGGGACTGATGCCAAGGGAGTTGTGGAGTTTAGGAAAGGGCTTCAGAGAGTGCAGGCATTTCCTTGCTTGTCTGCATCACTACTGCAGTATTCTAGAAAAAACAATTCTGTATGCGGAGGGATGCCAAACACAAAACTCGCAAGTTGGGTGTGTGCTGCCCCGCTGGCAGTCCGTTAACCTGGTGGGGTGCTAAGAAGTGACCTCGGAATCAGAAGCCTTAAACTGTGAATAATCATGACCGCCAGGAACGCAGACCCCGAAAGGCCCGCGCAAGTACAAGCGGCCGTAAACATGCCCTGTATGCTCCAAATAGCTTCATGCCACCACAACTGCTTGCGCTGGGAACCCGAGAAAGGCGGTTTTTTCTCTGCGTAGCCTTGGAGTCACGTTGGTCTGCCTGCCAAGACGGTCCAACATCCTTCCTCCAGACAAGCAGCAAATCCGTCAGCAAACCCGGCGCCTTCAAGGATCTGCGCGGCTTTCTTGGCGTGCTCACTGGACTCCCACAGCAGGCCCTGCATCAGGGGCATGCATCGGTGGAAGGCGTTCTGCATGGTTGACTTTCGAGATTGTTCGAATCTACGCGTGAGGGCGTGGCTTGCGTGCCTTCCGCAGCAAACCATCGTGGTGTGCTGGTGCATCTCCGTCACCGGCCCAAAATGCTCTGGCCTGCGAAACTGCAGGGCAGGCGCGTGGGAAGAGTTTATGCTGTCAACACAGGACAGCGAGGCCGCCATGCACACGTCTTTGTCCGTGCGCAGCACCTGCGGACCATGCAAAGTTGCCTTGTGTGTTGGTTGGGGTCAGGCAAGAGTCTGCCTGCGGAACATAAGTCAATACGTCGCCATTCACCTGTGGTGCACTCTTGAGGTCTTCGTACAACACTCGGCAAGAGAAACCTAGGCACTCGGCCCGCACTGCTGAGAGAACGAAAGCCTACAAAGGCTCTCATTTACGTCTTTGCGCTCCGCATCTTTGCAAACTCCACGCCGTCCTTGTCATCTCTCAAAGTGGCCGCCACATAGAGGAACGCCTTGGCACGCCTGCACAACTCTTGTCATTGAGGGCGGATTTGCCTCGCTCGGAGTGCCGCAATTTGCAGCACTGGTAAACCACGCCTTCGGACCGCCTCGAGGACGAATGATCTGTCCTGTGGGTGGCCCGGGGACAGAACGAGGAGCCCTTTGAAGCATGTTTTACGACTTTTGCAATCCTGCTTTAGAAGCGGCGAAGCATGCCGCAGAGCCTGGCCACAAAGCACTTCCATAGCAGTCACCTGCAAAGGCTGCATACCAAGACACCTTGCCTCTCCGGCTTGGGCCACTGCTTCTGCCACAAGCTCCCTGTTCGCCTTCCAAGGTTAAGGAATCAGAGCCTTCAGAGCCTAGGACCTCGTCAGAGACAGGAGCGCGGATTCCCATGGATCAGGAAACGGATGGCATCAAGTCAAAAAGAAGAGCAGCAGAAATCCTAAACACAGACCGGTTGAACTCCGCAACTTGCAGGCTTCGTGGTTCCAGCAAGCCCCTCCCTGCCATGGAAATCATCCTGAAACCTGATTGGTGCTGCTCGTTTTGTGAAGGAAGCTGCGTCAGTTGTCCAACTTGCAGCACAGGCTTCTGACCCCGACCTGACCCTGGCTTTACAGTTCCTCACCCAGTTGGTTTGACGCGGATGTGCTAAAGTTCACAAGGCATTCTACTACCGTATTCTACCCTAGGCAAGCCACAAAAGCCCGTGCGCACATCAGCATTCACCACATGTGCTGGGCAAATGTATGGCTGGCGCAAGCATGACAATGGCAATTCACATTTCGAAGCACGAGTTTTGGCAACCATTACATTGGGATGATTACCCGGTCAAGCCCCGAATTTCACCCTACTGGACTTGATTTCAGAAACTGCCTGGAGTTCGGGAGGCGCATGGACCAATGCTTCGCCATCACTGCGCACGGCAATCAAAACAACCTGAGCAGGGGAGAACCTTTAGGTGGAAACAGCTACCCGGAGCTATGCCTCGTGGTCGCCGCGTAATGGGAGTGGAACAAATCGCAGCGCGGTTCCGCATTCGCGGAGCGCCGCCAACACCAACTCCTTGGGGCGTCAGCCGTGTCTTGGGATACTATGAAAGCCATTTTTCATAGTCCAAATTGTCTATTGCAGTCCTGTCCTTATCAAGCAGCAACTCCTCGCTGCAGTGCATTAGCATGCTCCCGGAGTGTTGCACTGCGGCAAGCGCCAATTCACGGTTTTGCCGCAGGCATTCTCGGACTTCTCCTCACAAACATGATGACCCTTGTGCGAACAATGGGCAACTTTGGCCCCTCCAATAGCAAGTAATCTAGAAGAGGTTAGAGGCGGGGAATAATGGTCTGCAAATAGCGAACAAGCAGCTGACACTGCTTCAAGAGTTTCTTTCCGTAGCAGGTGTTCATGGGGACACTTCCGCGCAATCCTAATAGAGCACTGCACGGAATAGGAGAACAGAATCTGCAAGTGGAGATTGAATCATCCCAGCACACAATGGGAAGGTGAGGCAGGTCTGCAGCCTTTGCTATGCTGAGGTGACAGTCGATAACATTTTGAATGGACACGAAAAATGCTGTGCATACAAATGACTTGTCGTTTGGCTGATATAGAAGGTGAAGTCCATTGTTTGGTATCTTATGGCGATTCTGAAGTCCAGAAATCAAGAGGCTTCGCAGCAACATTGCGGACTACACGGGGCATGCTCGTATTCAGCGCCGAAAATTCCCACTGGAGCAGGGGCCGCTCCCTTCGCTGTCTGTGAACCCAACCGGGCCCGAGTGCGTTGGGAGGGAGGAGATGGGTCCTTTCAAGCTCAAATTGTTTCAGAAACTCGGGGACCTCCAACAAACGGTATTTGTGTTGTAAGACTTTTTGCACACAACAATTTGCGTGTGTTTTCCCCAAAACCCTGGAACAAACTTCCCCTGTGGCCCGCAGGGTACAACCTGAAGGAATTTAGAGGGAGCGGTTTGGCAGGAGGCATTCGCAAGCACCAATAGTCAGAAAATGCGTGTTTGTCAGACCATGCTTGCTCAAGAAGCGCAAGTGACAAGGTTCTAGATTTCCAAATGACTGTCCCTGAATTAGGGCAGCGGTGAACAAAAAAACAATAAGACCACCCAGCTGAATCCAAATCTAAGCAGAAGGGGCAATCACAAACGTCTGGTGCAAATGGCATGCACCAGGATTCAATTTGGCTCTGCAAATGGCACGCAATCCAGGCCCACTTCTCAACATCCGGCCAAACTGACAGGAGGAAGGGCTTCTTGCCACTTCTGTTCCACATCCCCTTACCACGGCGCAGCTGTGTAAACGTCATTTTAAAAAAGATCAGCCTTGTCATTAGCGGCTGCTGAGCAGCGAATTGTAGCTAGATTAGCAAGCCCATCCTGCATGTACAAACGCGCAGTGGGCAAAGATTGCCATCTACCGCGCAGCAGGATTTGTTCTAAGGAAACACCATGCCACAGCAGGAACGTGCCCCGCCTCTTCGGAGGGAATATGGTTGCAGCCCCAAACTGCATCAGCAGAGAACATTTTCACTCCAAGATGGGCAAAGGATTGCAGGCTCGGAACTTGTCCAAGACTTGC